GGTGAGATTAGAACCGCTGAACTGCAGATAACAGTCAGCTGAAGTGGCCTGCAGTACTGTACCCTAACCACTGTGCTAGATTTTCAACATCCCAAGGTAGCCCAAAGCTGAAAATGAAGGTGGTTATTAATTGGGATCAAAAAAAGACAAATTGGAAAGCTGCTTGGCCAGACAAGAATGGGAAGAATCACATGCTGATAAAAGGTGATCTCCAGTCACAACCAACTTTTTAACAATGATGCAATCTTTTTTTTTTTTTTTAAAGAAAGTCAAAGTTTTGGTACTTCCTCTAAATTTCTTGTTCTATGACTCGACAAGACGTTCAAATATGGGAAGGAGGAAACAACGGAGTTGTAATAGTAGTCAAATTCAGCTCTTCTTATTTTGAACCGCTGTATCTAGACTGGCGTTTGTCATCCTTATCCACTTTCAGATTTCCGAAAGACGTCCTAATTAATTCATGAGCCTCGAGCCAAGTTTCAAAAGAAATCCAGTCATTTATTAGGGACACCATTTCGGCAATACCCCATTGCAGTCAGGTCTGACCTCATTTTAATTATGGCTGAGCTTTAGCCCCGTGTCCTCCCTCCCCTCACTCTGTGTCATAAATCACATCCACCAACGAGGTGCACGCCTCACAAGCCTGCTGTAGTAAGCTGAGATCCGATTCTAGCCGAAGGTATGCGTGGAATGCGCTCTCCCCACTTTTCCTCACCATGGCAACTTTATGAGTTCACTTTTAGGAATGTGGACTTCCAACTCCCAGAATTCTCCAGCCAGCGTGCTCGGGAGTTTGAAGTCCACCCGACCTAAAGCCGAGAAACACGGATCGATGCCCTGAACAAGAGTTAACTCTCACCCAGCCCAACTGGATTCCTACTCACCATCCCTTCCAGGACTTTGCCGAAGACGACGTGCTTGCCGTCCAGCCACGAAGTCTTGACAGTAGTGATGAAGAACTGTGAGCCGTTGGTGTCCTTGCCGGCGTTGGCCATGCTGACCCATCCCGGCCCGTAGTGCTTCAACTTGAAGTTCTCATCTGGGAAACGGTCCCCGTAAATGCTCTTCCCTGGCAAAAGATGAGAAAAGGAAAGATGTTAACGCTGCCCAAAAACAGGGATGAAGACTTTCAACTTGGGATAGACCTGCATCTCCCGAGCTTCTCAGAGATCCCCGAGTCTTTTTCAAATGTTAGAAGAACTTAGCAATAGCAGTTAGACTTATATACCGCTTCATAGGGCTTTCAGCCCTCTCTAAGCGGTTTACAGAGTCAGCATATCGCCCCAAACAACAACCCGGGTCCTCATTTTACCCACCTCGGAAGGATGGAAGGCTGAGTCAACCCTGAGCCGGTGAGATTTGAACAGCCGAACTGCAGAACNAACCTAACCCTAACCCTAACCCTTACCTTAACTTGAATCGGCTTGCTTTAAAAGCGCTATTTAAAGCGCCCTTCTTTCTCCGCGCTCGCTGTTGTCGCCCTGTTGATGACGTCAGCGACGCGGTTTAATCGGGCGCGCTTTAGTCGAGCGCGTTTTTGTCGTGCCACGCAGGTGAGGAAACCCCCAAGGTGGGAGGTGATGGTTATTCCTTGCTACAGCCCACCACTCCTGCTTCCTTCCTCTTTCCACCTTCTTCAGAGAGGGTTTACTACTTGTTGCCTTCCCCACAGGGCGTCATCTTGCACAACGAAACCCTTCCCAAGGAGCTGCTCCATTTTTTGAAGCTGTGGCAGGGCCAACCGGAGCCACATTTGGGGTGAGCATTGCTCAGGACCTGTCTTGGGGCCCACCAGCAGCCAGCGGAGCCGGCAGCAGAGTCAGGCAGTGAGGAGGTTGGGGAGGAGCGTGGGCCAGTCCTGGAGGAGTTGTCCGTGGTCTCCGAACTCGGTTGTCTTGCAGACGTTTCATTACCCAGTTTTGCAAACCCCATTCCTTTCGAGCACTGATAATGTTACCTAGTTGGGTAATGAAACGCCTGCAAGAAAACCCAACGGAACTCGGAGAGCACCAAGGACTTTGCAGTTCAACCCTGAGCAATAAATATTCTTTTATCGAAAACCCTTTATTTGCTTGCTTTTTCAACAGATGGGATGAGAATTCGCCCTTGCAAGACTTCAGGCAAGATGTTTTCTGTTTTTTAAAGGGGTGGGGGGAGAATGATGGAGCACCCCAAACTTTTGCTGGTGAGAGGGATCCGAGTACCAGCTTGACCTCACTGTTTATTTCAATATTTGCCAGCCTTCTATCATCGTTATCTTTTAACGACCCTTAAAGTTCTTTTAAGCCTGGAGAAGAATTCACAAACTGATTTGCTTTTTGCCACACTTGTGCAGGTGTGTATATATACACACACACACATATAAATGTCTACCAAAATTGTTCAGCAACCTATTCGGTAGATGTACTTTATATATGGGAAGAATCAAAGCAGTGGGTGAATTCTCCTTCAGGCATTATACTGCGGTTGCATCTGAATTAGTTAGCCAACTTCAGCTGATTTTGAAAAAGCGAGGAGACACGGAGACATGCCTCCCCTCCCCTCACCCACCCGCCCACTCACTCACTTTTAAAGCGCTACTTTAAAAGCAGCCCCTTCCCTACTCACCCACCGGTCCTGGATCACATGGCTGTGAGAAACATCTGAAGGCTGTTTTTAAAAACTTTTAAAAGACTTTTAATGGACCACATGGCTGTGAAAAACATCTGAAAGGCTGTTTTTAAAGACTTAATGACTTTTAAAGACCTTTCAAGACTTTTAATGGATCACATGGCTGTGAAAAACATCTGGAAGGCTGTTTTTAAAGACAATGACTTTTAAAGACCTTTCAAGACTTTTAATGAATCACATGGTTGTGAAAACATCTGAAAGGCTGTTTTTAAAGACTTTTAAAGCACTTCTTTACAAGCTGACAGCTGCTTTTCATCCCACCACTCCACGGGGTCCGATACTTTGCATTGGCGGCCCGTATCCGGCCCATGGTCTATAGTTTGAGGATGCCTAGTATAAGGTCTCTAGCTTGAGCAGGGGGTTGGACTAGAAGACCTCGTCGTGAGGTCCCTTCCAACTCTGTCATTCTGTTACTCTTAGCCCTAATCCTGCTTGTTCTAACACCCAAGGTGGCACTTTTTCCTTCTCAAACAGCCCTTGCTGGGACCAGCTCTCTCATCGGCCTGGCGTAAGCTTCCACAGCGATCCGTATGTGCTCCCATCTTCCACAGGTAAGCCGCGAAGAAGCTACCTTTCCAGAGGCTTTATTTTGGGTGGGTTGTGGGGGGTGGTGGTGGCAGAGGAATAGCAAATAGCGCCTTTGGGGACCACCGTGACCTGGATAGCAATAGCAGTTAGACTTATATACCGCTTCATAGGGCTTTCAGCCCTCTCTAAGCGGTTTACAGAGTCAGCATATTGCCCCCAACAACAATCCGGGTCCTCATTTTACCCACCTCGGAAGGATGGAAGGCTGAGTCAACCCTGAGCCGGTGAGATTTGAACAGCCGAACTGCAGAACTGCAGTCAGCTGAAGTAGCCTGCAGTGCTGCATTTAACCACTGCACCACCCAGAGACCAGGCCCAACACACACGACAATCCCCACACACTTCAAAACTTTCCCACCCTTAAACCACCCAAGCATTCACACAACAGACCAAGTAATGCTCTCCAATAGCTCACTTGAAGGCGGCCCTTTAGTTCATTGTTGAGTGCAATTATAGCTCTGGGAATAAGCTCTTCAATTCATAGGTAGTTCTGCCTGAGTGAGCCGAGTATTTTACATACACTTTATTGCCAAAAGTATTCGCTCACATGCCTTTACTCGCATATGAACCTACTGTAAGTTAGTGATGGCTAACTTTTTCCGGATCAAGTGCCCAAAGCACATACATGCATGTGTCCCCTGCATGCACACCATCCCCCGTGCATGTACGCGCACCCACCCACCCCCCCGCACACGTGGCAGAGACCCGAAGACCAACTAGCCGGAACAATCTGAGCTTCCTGTGACGGTCTGGAGTCTTACCTCCCGTTCCATCGCCCCGGGTAAAATCTCCTCCTTGGATCATGAAGTCCTTGATCACACGGTGGAACTTGCTGCCCTTGAACCCAAATCCTTTCTGGAAAAGAAGAGCAGCAAAGCATGAGAGCGGTAGACGCAGGGCACCCATACATTAAACACTGGCAGTGTCTCCTCTGCCAGTCCCGTCCCTACGCGGGAGGATTTATCCATCTGGTATCTCCAATCAAACCACGCGGTCTCGGTAGGCAGAAAACAGATTCAAAGTGTTCCCAATCAAAACTGGGAAACGAAGAGCTTTTAAGCATGGAAGACCGTCCTTTCTTGGTGTGTGTGTGTGTGTGTATTTGTGTGTGTGTGTGTGTATGACTTTGATCCAGGTGGTCCGTTTTATGAATTTGTGACCCACGACAGGCAGGCGACCAATTCTTTAAATAAATAGTTCAATCCAGAGCCTTGGTGGCAAAGTAGTTAAGAGTTCAGTACTGCAGGCTAATTCTGCCGACTGCCAGCAGTTCGATCCTGACCGGCTCAAGGTTAACTCAGCCTTCCATCCTTCTGAGGTGGGTAAAATGAGGACCCAGGTTGTTGGGGGAAACAGGCTGGCTCTATAAATTTAGAGAGGGCTGGAAAGTACTGTGAAGCGGGAAATAAGGCTAAGTGATATTGCTAATCCTGTGTGTGTGTGTGTGTGTGTCTGTGTGTATTCCAGAATAACTCTGGAATGCCTTGAGCAATTTCAACCAAACTTGGTACACAGATGACTTATTCTCTGGAACCAAATACTGTGGGGGGTAAGACACCCCTCGGAATGTGTGTTCTGTTAAGATGCAGCCTGTTGGTCCTTAAAATGGCTTCCACCGTACTGCCGTGAAATGGCTTCTACAGTACAGTGCATGTGGCATTGCCACGGTAACAACTTCACAGTACTCAAGGGAGCTCCCTTTGGTAAGGGGGAAGATCCAACATTAGAAATTACATTTGGTCCGGACATTTCCCCCCTATAAATAAATACCCAGGCAACGCCGGGTTATCGGCTAGTTATTAATAAATGCAGAGGGGTTTCCTGGGGTGATTGCCCCCTTCTATCCGTGGGGGCCAGCCCTGCTCAGAAAGAGCCGTCATTGTGAGGATTTCTCCCCTTCATAGCTAAAGACTTTGGGTTCCCCCCCGTGAAGCATCCAGCCCCTATTTTTGCAGACTCTCGGTAGCGTCCCCATCGTGGGACCCGCGTCCCAACTTACCTCTCCAGTGGCTAAGGCGACAAAATTTTCCACCGTTTTTGGAACCGTCTTTGCAAAGAGGCCGATGACAACACGCCCCACCTCTTCCTCCCCGATCTTAATATCAAAATACACCTGGGGAGAGAAACAAGAGGCTGCTATCAGGGAGCAGACGCTTATTTGTATTTATTTGGTTTGTACGCCGCCCAATCTCGGAAGACACAGGGCGGCTTAC